ACCCACAAACCCTGCCCCCACCACTGAGACACACCCACAAACCCTGCAAGGTAATTGTCGCTATTTCTCCTTTTTATCACTTCTCTGGTCTACTCTTTTTTAGGCAGCTTGTGCCTGAAAAACATTTAACTGCGAGGCTCTTGGACATTCTAGAGCTAGCCATGGCCAGTAGGAAGAGTGCGGAATGGTTGGGACTGCCGCGTGTGTCTCCTGCTGGACACTAAGTAGTGCTTGCTCCTCTGTGTTCCCACACTGGGAAAGCCGCAGTGGAAAGTCAGCTGTTTAGCCCGCTGCCGCCACAAGAAAGCTCTCTGTTTCCTCGTTCTTCCCACTCTTCAGTTCTTGGCCTAACGTTTGCTGCTCACTTGTAATTATCTTCCTTTTCTGAGACCTCTCAATCTTTCATTCTGTTCCAGTTTCCCATTCCGGGGAGTTTCATAGCGAGGGAAGAGCCGGTTCCTGCTTCAGGTCGGTGCTGCTTCAAGCGGCCAGGTATCAGCACCACCTGGAGCTGGTTAGAAATGTAGATTTCCAACCCCTCTTCCTAGACCTACTCAATGAGAAGCGCTAGGACAAGGGTTCTCAACCTGTGGGTCTCGATTCCTTTGGAGGTTGCCTCTTAGACATCTTGTATATTGGATATTTACATTATGATCCACAACAGTAGCAAAATTGCAGCTATAAAGTAGCAATGAGGGGCTAGAGAGATGACTCAGCGGTTAAAAGCATTGCCTGCTCTTCCAAAGGTCCTGAGTTCAATTCCCAGCAAACACATGGTGGCTCACCACCATCTGTCATGAGGTCTGGTGCCCTCTTCTGGCCTGCAGACATACACACAGACTGAATACTGTATACATAATCTTTTTATTTAAAAAAAGTTAAAGTAGCAATGAAACAATTTTCCACGTGGGGGTCACCATGAGGAACTGGATTATAGGGTCGCAACCTTAGGAAGGTCGAGAACCACTGTCCCAGGGAGTAGCACTCAAGAACAGCCTTGCACATTTCGACGCCATTCGTTTCCACACTAGCGTTTGGAAAGCACTACCTTAGCTGAGTAAGCTGTGAGACTCTGTGAACAAGACTTCGGGAAGCGCTTGGTTGCGACTATAGCTGCCCGCAGCCCTTTCAGCTTTCAGGTTTGAATCTCGTGTATTTGGCGTGTTTCCACGAATCTTTCCTATTCGGGAGATTCTTGAAGAAGAGACAGGGTTTGCCGAGTGGGAAGGGAAAGCGATGGCAACCAGCGCACAGGGAAAGCCGTAAGACCGTCAATGCTCACATGGCAAGGAGTAGGCGCGGCAGGCACTGGCGAGGCAGTAAGGGAGATGTCCTCACGGGGGCTGCCAGACCTTCTGAGGGTAGCAGAGGGGGTGGACACAAGCGCCAAAGAGCACGTTTATGCAGAACTTATGTCAGGCAGCTGTGTGACTATGTGCAGAATCTGGTTTGGACGACTAAGAAAGCCGGGCACTGTCTCAGCATCTCGTGGATAAAGAGTCAAAATCACTTCACGAGTGTGCCGCATAACTGATTGACTGTTGAGCCTCTACTAGCCTCAGGGCCTGTCCTCCCAGACTTCAGTAACAGACGGGTAACTTAGCCAACTCCAACTGGGAACATCTCACCATTAATACTAATAACTCAAAAGGTGGGATATAGATTTTGCTAGGTTCTGGCAATACCTTGTTGGTCACCAAACTCTCAGAATAAATGTCTGAGCAAATGGTGACTACAGAGGCTGGTGACTTGTTCAGACAAGTGAATCCTGCGGAAGGTGAGTCTTCCAAACCTTTCCCCGTTCGTTCAGCACTTTAAAATGGGTCTTTTTCTTTTCTTTTCTTTTTTTGAAACAAAAATTGCACTGTTTTCAGAAACTGGCCTGCAATAAAATTGAAAATGCAGCTGTTAATCAACCCCCAGTCCCCGCAGAAACCTAAGAAGGAATTCGGAGTGATCTGTCATCTCCACACGTTACCTGGGCAGACTAAGCTTTGACCCGAGGAATGTACGTGCAGCCATATTGATACAATAAGTCAGGTTGGGATCCAGACTTCAGCGTTGAGGGGTGGTGCTAAGGTAGACAGCAGAGCCTCTCCAGCCGGATTGTGCAGCTGAATTCAGCTTCATTCATCTTATTTTAATGGCCCCATTCATTTTGCGCAGGAAAGCGTTTCTATTTGGTTTTCTCATCATGGCCGGGTGTGATGTGCAAGCATAGAAGGTTCGGAAGCCAAACAGACTGAAAGAGAGTCCTTGTGGATAGCTGGGGAAGAAACTCCCTGACATGCCTGACGGTCGCGTTCCTGGATGTCTCCTAAGAAAGCCCCTCTCGCAGCAGTAGAGTGGCCAGGTCCCTCAATGGGTCTGGTGCCTCAAGTGGAGGCCGTCAGAGAGTCCTTTTTCTCTACGTCCAGAACAGGTAGGTTATGAAGTCTCACCCCAGCTCCACGGAGCATCGTTAAGAAGCCAGCCTCACAAGCTGCTTGTTCTGAGAATGCGGAAGGCAGTCACTGTGTTGACTAATGAAGGGAAACGATGACCTGAACTGGCCTTGCCAAGGAGCAGGACCTCTCATTTCCAGAATTCCTAGGATTGGGTGAGTGACCAGAACCGAGGAGGGAGACTTGAGCGGCGGCGACGGCGCTCTGCTGTAGTAACAGTGACCAGGGAAGCGAACAGCCACTACGTGCTGACTGTATTTAACCTCACTTTTTGAACTGAACAGCCCATTTTTCCTTTTGGATTTGCCTAACTTACTGCTCCACCGGCTGAGTGAGTAGAAGTAGGCTGGGGCTCGTTGTTTCAGCGTGGTGGTTTGTCAGGCCTCAGGATGTCTGCCCTCGTCTTGCCTAGTCAGGCTTTCTGCAGGCGCGGCTGCTTGCCATGTACCTCAGCACCTACACTGTAGCACGGAGTGGAGCGCTATCCCATTTTCTCAGTATTGACCATACTTGACCCTGCCACTCCCTCCCAGTCCCCCGAGGAAGAGCAAGCAGATAGACTGGGAAGCCCATAAGAGCTAGCTAAGGCTTGGAAGGTAATGCCGTGTTGGTTTATACTTCCAACAGGCAGCATACTTTCTGTTAACCGGCTCGTAGAAAACTGCAGAGAAACAAAGAAAGAAAACGCTTCCCAACTTTTCTCCCCTGCTCTCTTTACTGTCGACCTGTATCATCCTGTTGCGGCTGACTCATACAGGGTTCCCGAGGAATACATAATTTGTTTTAGACCCTCTTATGCAGTCTGACAAATGCTCCTGTCAGATTCTGCTGCCTCCGTTAAGGCATTAGTCTGAAATGTCACCTGCTTACGTTAGCAATTGTTCGTGGAGCCTTGTCACTTCTTCGAGAAAAAGCCACAAGAACAGATATTGTGTTCGGTGGCTCTCACTCCCAGCCTCTTTCCATATTGCTAGTGCCAAGATAGCTCCCAGCATACGTTGCCTGTTAGGAGGAAATTGCATGGGAGACCAGATTTCATTATCATTAAATAAAAGCGCCATCGGGGAAATCATGGTGCCTTTAGCTGGGCATCAATGACTCCCCTCCAGTCTTCTCTTTCAAAGCCAAACTCCCTCTCCCCTCATCCATATCGTGTGTGAAAACAGCTGCTTTTTCTCCTAGGAGGACCGCATTTGTGCCGAGTGCACAGAGAGCCCTGAGAGACAGCATCGTGTGGAGTCACACCATCCCAGGTGGGTGTGGGTAAGGGGAGGTGGGGTGGGGTGTCTCATCAACCTCCCTCACAGCTCCTCACACACTATTAGAGGCATTTTCTTCTACAGGACGTGACAGTGAGGAACTTGGTTCCCATGGCCTATGGTTCTGATTTCCATGGGTTCTCCATCACCCTCAAAAGGTCTCCATTTCATTCCTTTATTGGTCTGGTGCTGTGGAGTAACTGGATGAGGGGCAAACACCAGAGGGAAAAACACCTTTTGGGTGTAAAAATCAGAGAATTCTGTTGTTTTCCACGTCCTTTTAAAGCTGCAACTTGGAAAGTCATTTAGCAGAGGAAGGTTTGCATAATCTTGGAGATTAAGTTTCCAGATGTGGTTTAAAAGTTTGATACAGCAATAACCTGACCTCGGCATCACATCCATGACTGGAAGGCTGTCAGGACAGAGAACACCCCTTTAGAAATACCCTCTTTAAATGCGTTGCTCTGTAGCTAGCCGCTGGCATTGGCAGCGATTTCCTGTCCACTGTAGTATTTTTTGTTTCACCTTTAATTTCTAAAGTTGTTTCCTAAAGTAATGTCGCTGGTGAAAGCAGGCCGCTGCTGGAGAACTGAGTGCCCTCTGTTCCCTTCCAGGGGTCTGGGAAAACCATCACCTGCAGAAGCTGGGCCAGGTCTCCCCAGACTGTTGGGAACAAAGACGACTCCATCCCGAGCCAGCAAGTCTTGCATCTCGGGCAACGGGGCCAGGCTCAAGCTGAGAAAGCTCATCAGAGGCTCACACACTGCGGCTGCCTTCGTCAGATCTCTGGGGGTGAGAGTTTCTGCCAGTGCCAGCGGGTCAGACTGCCCTGTGAACAATGACAGTTACATCGTGAACCGTGCTTCTCCCTTCCAGCTCTCCCCGTCATACACTGTGTCTCCCTCTGTCCAGCCACTTAAGCCGAACCACGGTCTCTTTTTGTGGGACCTGGTGCCTTCTAAAATGAGCCACAGTCATTGGCTCTCCTGTCTTTCCCGCTACTCAGATGGGAAAGATTTTAAGCTTGGCTCCCAGAGTTTTCCTTTTTTTATTTTTTCCTTTGGAAACTTTTGTCATTGAATTAGGGAAAAGATTGAGCGAGGCAAGAGGTGATGGAAAGCAACTTTATGCAAAGAGGGAAAACTAGAAGGTGAAGGTGAGGAGGATCCCTCTGAGAGTGAACATTGAGAGGTGCATGCTCTTATCGCCTTCACGGGGTGACCTTTGGCACTGTCATTAAGTGAAAGGGAAATGGCAGACTCAGCATTTTTGTCCATCCTGTCAGGACTTTCCCAACCCCGACACATTTCCATTATCAGCCTTCCGGGCTGTCAGAAACTCCCTAGAATAGCTACACATCAGGATGCTTTCCTTCTCTCTTAAATGTAATGTCCAAAATGCTGGAGGCAGATGGTGGGAGTCTTTTCACTGGAATGCAAATGCATCACTTAGGAGGGAGAAGATACCAGGACCAGATCTCCCCGGAGAACAGCACTGGTGCATCAGATTGCAACTGGTTTACTGAGTTCCAAGAGGAAGGGATGAAGGAGAGGTCATCTCTGAGGGAGGATTGAGGTTCATTTTCTAATACGGTCCTTTGATGTCTTGCCACTTAGCAAAGATGGAAGAGAATAAGGGTCATATTTAGTAGATGGAGAAAAGGGAGACAGTAGAATGTACCTGAGGAGCTGAATACACAAAATCTTGGTGAACTGGTGTCTTATTGGTCGGTTAGATATATGAATAGGAAATGCCTTAAATACTTCAGCATTTGTAGTATTTAATATGAAGAATATGGATTTAATTTGAAGATATGAAAATAGAGAATAAAAAAAGCCAATATATTTTGCTACATTGATTGTACTTTGCTGTTGTTGTTTTGTTTTGTTTTTTTTCAAGACAGGGTTTCTCTGTGTAACTGTAGGGATACTGGATCTCACTTTGTAGACCAGGCTGGCCTCAAACTCAGAGGTCCACCTGACTGTACTTCCCGAGTGCTGGCATTAAAGGCGTGCACCCACACCTGGCAATTGTTGGTACTTTTATTCTAGTTTACAGATAGACACAAGAGCCATCTTTGTATTTTGGCCCAGTGAATTGTGGGTAAACTGACTTGGAGAGTCACAAAGGGTAGCTGATCTATGGCATTGGCTTAGAAATTGAAAGATCAAAATCTGCTTTTCCATCCACTCTTGAAACCCCATCTGTGAGTACGGATGGGTTTTATGGTTTATAAATGTTGAGTTCACCAGTGTGAAGCAGTAATAAGCTTTTGCTATAATATATAAACTGCTCAAGGGATAAGGTGAATCTGACAATGCCTGTAGTTGTCTCCTGGTCTAATCCAAAGGCTACATGGTTTTTATCACTTTATTGTCTGGTGTGGAACAATTGTCTATATTCTGTCAATTGTGTTTTTAAATAAAGGCTGATTGGCCAGTAGCCAGGCAGGAAGTATAGGCAGAACAACCAGACAGGAAGTAGAGGTGCGTCAATGAGAACAGGAGGATTCTGGGAAGAGGGAAGCTCCCTCTGCAGTTGTGAGCCCTTCATGGAAGAAGGAAGATGTGACCTGCCCCACCAAAAAAGGTACTGAGCCATGTGGCTAACATAGACAAAATAATGGGTTAATATAAGTTCTAAGAGTTAATAAGAAGCCTAAGCTAATGGGCCAATCAGTTTATAATTGATGAAGACCTCTGTGTGATTTTTTGGGGACTAAATGGCTGTAGGACCTGGTTGGAGGACAGAAGCCAGGCAGGACAGAAACCCAGACAAGAATTGTCTATGGCGAATCTGCCAAGAGAAGAGAGGTGAAATCAAAGATCCATTTTCACACATGGTTCTTTGGTTTGGTGGGAGAGAATGTCAAAAATCTCAGCTAAGGAGCATTTTGGAATGACATTCAGTGTGACATTGCTTCCTTTCTCCTTGACAACAATAAAGACAATGATGGTAGGTTAGCTGTTGGAGACTGGTCTATGGACAAATTATTGCTGTGTTATTAAGTTGGTAGTGAGGAAATAGTGAATAGGTAGAAAAAGGAAAACTTCTCCTTTGACAAGAAGTCTGACAGAGTCTCCAAATAGTATTAACCCATGAACTAAGAACAATTTCCTACCCAAATCAATGAAAAATATAATAGTGGGTTTTGGATTGTTTGTGTCTGTCTGTCTATGTGTGTAGATTGTTTGTGTCTGTCTGTCTGTGTGTGTAGAGGTCAGATGTCAGTCTCATGGGTTTTTTTTTTCAGATTCCATCCACCTTGTTTTTAAAGACAACGTTTCTCACTGGGACCTGGGATCCAACAATTTGCTGGACCGGCTAGGCAGCTAGCCCCAGAGATTCACCCATCTCTTTCTCCCCAGTGCTGGGATTACAGACAAAGACTTCTTCTTCTTCTTCTTCTTCTTCTTCTTCTTCTTCTTCTTCTTCT